CTTTAGTAACCATCCTACCCCCACAACAGAGGGTTTAAGGCAGGAGTGTGAGAGCTGCAGAGCGCTGTTAGCACTGCTTTTCTTTTTAAAATTCCCTCATGTTTGGGCTGGGCCATGTCACGGGCTGGGAGCCACCAGGGACATCCAAACGTCCATCAGAGCCACCAGGGACACAGATGCTCTGCTCCAAACGGCCGTCAGAGCAACCCGGGTGCTTTACCTTGGCAGATCCCAGCCACAATCTCTCTCCTCTGTTTGTTAACACAGACATCAGCAAAATCCCGTCTCCAGCGTGGGATTTTTGAAGTCTGACGAGCGAACGTTCGTGAAGGCTGGACATGGCGGTTCTCTTTCTCTTAGCAGCTTTGCTGCAAGGTGAGTCACCAAGAAACCGCTCTGCAGCCACTCACACTGACGAGAACAGGCAAAGCTGGAACCGGGGGCATGGCCACGTCCCTGGCTAAATCCTCCCTTGGACACTAGACACCTCCACCTGCAAAACAAACTAGTCGAACCTCCCTGCCCGCGAGAAGTCTGCAGAGAGCTAGCAAAGGCATGGCCAGAGCTGGGAAGGAGAATCCCACCGCTCCGTTGCTCAGCACTGCAGACAGCCACTCCTGCCTGTGCAACGCATCTGCAGGGAGGAGAACGTTGCCAGATCAGACAGAGTTTGCAAATGCCAAAGGGTGTTCTTCGATGTTTGCTCTTGACTGCTGCCCTCGACGTTTAACTCCAGGCAGGACTGTCAGGGCTGCTGGGGGTTTGGGGTGTCCATGCCCCCATCGAAGGTTTCCCCGTCTGTGCTGTGGCACAAGGCAGTGGCTCTGCGCTGCCAGTTATCCTCGAGTGGGTAATGTGGCGCTCAAGGAAGGTAAGACACCACATCCAAAATAAACTCTGAACTTTCTGAGCCAGATATCCCCCTGGTGCCACTCATAATCATGCCACTGACTCGAAGGAGCTGTGCTTGGTTTCGCCAGGCGAGGATCAGGTTGTCTCTGAGTAACCAGCAACTCCTGTTTCTTTCTTTCCCCAAAAGAGCCAGTTTCAAGCACCTTGTACGGATCCAGGTTTCTGACAGGTGAAGTTGGAGGATCTGTCACCCATCAGTGCTTCTACTCCATCACACCAGCCAACAAACACGACCGAAAATACTGGTGCAAAACAGCAAAAAGCGGAACTTGCTACACCATCATTTCTACAACCGGCTACACCTCAAAAGACCATGTGGGGCGCGTGTCTCTCAAGGATATCCCCCAGAACGGCACCTTCACGGTGACAATGACAGAGCTGAAGAAGAACGACACAGGGACCTACCGATGTGGCATCGGCACCACCAACAGCGACCTGTATGTCCGCCTGAACCTGACAGTTTTGGCAGGTAGGATGCTGGCAGGGGAGAGGGGAGGCTCCGCTCTGCCGGCAGCCCAGCTCGCAGGGAGTGGTCTGGGGATGGATGCTGGAGCACCAGCGCACAGCAGGCATATCAACTTCTTCTACCCCACACTATTAACCGGATATTTACAATGATAGGGTACAAACCCACCCTGATTTGGCCAAATCAGCCGTTCATAAATGTAAAAGGAATCTCCCTCCTGCCTGGCTGGGGACTGCCTGCTGGACAGTGCCTGCCGTGCTCTCTCCCTACAGATGCTGGCACGTTGGGGCCGACCGAGATCATCTGGGGGGAGCTCCGTGGCTCTGTCACGGTCCTGTGCCCACCTGGGGACACCCAAGGTGGCAAGAAGAGGTTCTGGTGCAAACTGGGGAGAACCGGCTGCACTCTCATAGCTGATACCGATGGCTACGTGGGAA